CATCTGAGTCTCCCTTCGTTGCTATCGGGCCTAATGAACTGAATATCACTGAGGACGATACCTGAACAAACATGAATTGGGAATTTGGTTCAGCCATGGCATAAGATGGTTGGCATGGTGGTAACGCACACGCCTTCTATGCGACGTGTCCGGAATTCAAATCCCGGATGGAACGGTGGGCAGGCACTGCTGATGAGTTCCAATAAGAGAGAAACTCGAGTTTAGTGCTTCCGAGTGTATGGTTGAATCGATAACCTAAGTATTGTGCGCGAAGGTGAAGTTCAAATGATAGTCAGCTTAAATCAACAAAATCATAGTATCCCACACCACACTACTCACAAGTAATTGTGAGTCAAATGCCAAATATTCTATTCACCTTCCGTTAAGTTTGAGAAATGGAGGCGGTCGTTTTTGCAAGCAGTCCACCAAGCTGACTGTCAAACATAACATTTGCTAGTTTCCCCTAATACATATCCCACCCCGGCCATTGTGGAGGTAACTAGCTTATCTATGTTTCTATCACAAGGAAACGTTTTCGATTATATTCAACTGGCAACTGCTAGATGGTAATCGAATGAATTCGACCCACTCGGAAACTGCATAAATGTGGAAAAAAACAATATTTATTGCAGTCTAAAAGATTTCCACGAGCAATCTCGAACGAGATGAACCTTTATCTGGGAAACTGAAACGTAGTTCCAAAATGACAGTCACGTTGCACAAGTTCTATCAATACCTAGTTTTATATGGGTGTATGCAACCACCTGTATGATCTTTTAGAGCCACATTTGGAACGAAATACAACTATTCTCGCCACAAGCGCAACCATCACAATGACTGAATTGTCTCGTATGAGATGAAAATAAAATCGGGAGTATAGGAATCCATTGTGACCATGGATTACTGAAGACGTGTACCTAATGAGCGACAAGGATCGTCTGCTTCCGGGGCAGTTCGCCCGCTCATTCGCATACTACCTATCCGAAATTACAGAGAATTGACCCTGGTGTCGAGTTTGCTAGAGTCAGATACTCCTTTCACCCTCACCCCGAAAAACTGACAAAATTGCATCACAAAAATTCTCCTAGATGCAAATGTAGTTGTATTTTCACACACGTTTGAATCTGGACTGTGTGCCAAACAGATCATAGGACAATAATCCTTACAAAAAAAGAGAAAATTCCATGCTTTGTTTGTGGGCCGAATATTGCCAGGTTGCCCAGGCCAGGGCAAGTGAATTTTATTGAGGAATACACAAACGGAGCCTTCGGCCAGTCAAAACCTGATCAGCAAGGCCACGGGGCGGTGTGTGGGAACAGCATTTCGTGGAAGCCGATGTCCAGTTCTCATCGGATCATACGCNATCATACGCCCTCGGGAAGGGAGTTAAACATCCAAGGCATCCAAACGAGCCGGTGATCACTGTCACAACCACGGTCTGGGTGGAGATACAAACGCATTTTATCTCTTGCTCAGTATAACAATTCACTTTGGAATCGCACACACCTCATCCGGGGTGGACAATGCGGTGGCCTTGGCCCAGAAAAAACGACCACAACGGTAAACGATGGGAACACATGGTCCGGTTAGTCGTGCTTGTTTATCTTAGACGACATCTGTTGAAAGTAGTGGTCTCAAAATGTCGGCGTCAGTTCGAGTGTGCTCGATCTGGAACTCTCCCGTCCTACGTCGTCTGTGCGCCAAGCATTGAATCCTTCAAAGTGAGACTCGATGAAGCATTAGCACACCTTACATTCCAACATAAGTGAAGCTGCGTGCAGCAGTGGAAGAAGCCCGTATCATGTGATATTTTACATAAGGAATTGTATGTATCACTGTCTTTTAACAACAACACGAACCTATGGGACGAGAAAAGCATGAGCTTATAAGTTATTCTCATAATAAACCTTTGAATGAACAGTCGTGTGAAAGAATAATCTTGTCAAAAATGCGCAGACGTTTCGCCTTCAACCAATACCCCCGCTCAAACTAGACAAACTTCAACGGTGAAATTCTTAACTTGACAACGAGTGACACTCCGCGACACTCCAGTTTACTTCACTGTATTTCACCGTTTGATAATGATGACTCGATTCTAAATGGAGCATTGTGCGAAAGCCGCAATTCATTGGGACTGGAGTTCAGTTGATCGAATCATACGTCCTTCTGGACGGGGTCAAATGTGCGAAATGCACCTCGAGAACTGACCAATACCACGATCACGTGTGCATGGTTCGTACACCTGATCTCGTTTGGTTTGGAATCAGGGATTTTAGCCTACTCCCTGTAGGTGATTGACCGATTCGGATGTTAGCCTTTCGTTCTCTCACTTTGATGGAAAACTGATAGGGAAAAGAAAGTTTTTCCCTATAAAAAGTGACCACCAACCGTGGTTGATCCTATTGGTGCATTGCCTCATAACTGTAATTTTGAGCTTATTTCCATGGTCATTGCTAGTCGGTCCCGAAACGGTATATGCACAGACGAGTTGTTCACAGCCTTCGACTTTTGGTTCGAGCCAAATAGACAATAACACCTGAAGGCCTGTGTTATTCGTGATTTTCTTTCCGGGTCGTACTATTTTCGCATCGTGTTCTTCCAATTCTCTCTAGGGAACTGCTTTGGGTACCGCACTATGGGTGTATTCGTGTTGTACTCACTCGGTCTGTACTATAAGCACGCGTGCTTATTGTACTCACGGTCCGACATGGTCCTTTCCTATCGTTATCTACATGTTACAACAGAAACCGATTCCACCACGCGAAGGCAGTGAGAAGGGCTTCCTCAGCAGAGGCTATTTGAAACACTTGGGCGCGTATGGGAGCATTTCGCGTGATATAGGGATTGGGTGAACAGTCACAAATGAAGACACCCACCCACTAACCCTTGTCTATACTGAGGCTACTTGGAATTTCCTACTCCCTGTGTGTGTGTGTGTGTGTGTGTGTGTGTGAACAGTTCAATCTTTCCAACAGAGAGAGAGAGACTTGCACTGCATCAAATACGAAACCATGTGGAACAATGGAACCGATTGACACCATGTGCCCCAGTTGACACGGGATTGCTGAACAGTGTTTGGTTCGGTTAAACATCCGATTCATCTGTCCAACTATCCGAATAAATGTGAATGAATGATATGGGATGGATAAAACAACACAAACCACGCCAAAAATAGATACCACATATGTATTTCCACGCAACCAGATTGTTTTTCAACTCATCTTCCCTCCTTTACCG